TKKYCYWAAATGTTTGCCAATGGCATTTCACCTATGTAAACTGACCACTTGTTTCACTAGCTTATTGTGAAGAAAACTTTCAAAATGACACTGGAACAAGATAATATAAACTTGTAATAATATAATAGTTTATACTCCAAGAGTGAAGGCATTGAACTGCTGAAAAAAAAGGGGTTTAATTATCCATTTCAAAGTTTTTATGAATTTGAATTGACTTGTGTAAATTCCTTCAAAGAACTGGGAAGTGTTCAATGCCAGTAGTACTAGAGCAAAACTTTCAATGTATGTTTTAAGTATGCAAATGGCTTATTTCATAAAAGCCAGTACTAAGTATTCAGACTTTAAGAGCTTAGTAAAAGAAAAAGTTATGTCATTCTTTCCTGATTATTTAAAAGCATGCAAGAACAAGGCTGTATAAATGCTATCACTATAGTAACGTTCCTCTCAGTCTAAACACTTGAATGTCCTGTAGGAGCCCCCTGATTTGTAGGCTGTCCTATTGATACGATAGCACCAAGATCAATACCATGTTGCTGGAGTTGAGCACGGAGGATAACATTTTCTTGTCGAAGGTCTTCATTTTGTTGTCGTAGTAGCTCCATATCGATGCCTAACTGTTCGTTGTCTTTGATTGTTTCAGCCATTCTGGTATTGGCTGTTCTAATTTCATTAATGTAGTCTACTGTTTTAGCCAATATTCCACCTTTGCTCTATTAGAAACAAAACAACATTTGTGCTGAGTTTACATGRAWGCTTATCTCAYATTCAACTAAGTTCATTGATAATGACAATTGGTTTGAGCAAGAATTTCTATTGTCCTCATCCTGGAATTTCCATCATTCTCACTTTGCTACGACCTTTCAAATTTAAAATGAAACTAATACACCTCTGGTACAATTGCTGATGTACAGCATTTTYAAGTTGCTTAGCTTCCCATGTCACCAGAATTAAGTTTCTGAACTTTCCACTCATGTCCTTGGTCCAAACTCAATCCCCCTAGGCTCAATAGCAYCTGAAACTGGATATTACTTACCTGTCCTGCTTTTGTCTGATCACAGGCACAATCTGGTACAACTTTAGCTAGCTTAGATATCCAACCATTTATCTTATCACGCCTGCGCCTTTCAACTAAAACGTACCAAAGTAGGATTAATATGCTACTGTAGTTGCACTATACTATACATGTATCTCATTTGTAACTTGTCAGTATATAGTAAATAGTCAAATTATATATGATATATAGCTTATATCATACACTTCTATACCACATTTTGGATAAAAACTAGTATATTTGTACACAAACTGTATTTTTGAAAACTGACTRCTTTATCATGCAACTTGGTTCTGTGAATGTATTTGCATAAATTCACTGCCACACCATACCTTCGTTGTGAGTCTCACGTCTTTTGTCATCTCTTCCTCGAGTTCCTTCAAGTTTACTGGGAAAAGAAATGYGAAAAACCCTAGTGTGAAAATCCATTTCATACTATGTGTCTGTCATTGAATGTTTCAAGGCATGTGTAGTGTGATTGTCTATATAACGCGACTGTTGTGTCACATGATGGCTTGACAAAAGACAGCTAGTCATATGATCCAGTTCTTCATCACTCTAACCAGTCACATGGCAAAATAAACTTAACATGTGACACATTCATAGTACTACATAGTGACCGTAAACGTACATGAATTTGTACATGTCAAATCGCTGAAATAAAAGAGATCTTGCATGCGAGAACTACACTCGGACCGGCAGCTGTTTTCCTTCACAAGCTTTCAAACTCCCCCTTTTTAAGTCTTTTTTTGAGCAAAACAAAATCGTCGTTTACATACGACACCCAAGAATGAGTTGAWTAAGTCTAAATAGAAAACATTTTGATGGGATGCAAGAAAAATTGGTAAAAACTTCTATGCAAAAATTACTTCGGATCTTGATTRCATTGTTCAGGCGTCACTATCGAAGCTTGGAATCACGAAACAGACGTGAATTGTCCTAGATTATTTACTGGAAAAGATATCATGATCTTTATACTTCTACCATTTAAAAAACTATAAACAAACTTTTTRGTTTGTACGTAATCAGGAAAAAATAAAATTATTCCACCGATCGATAATAGACTTTTGTCACTGGTACACACGATTGGAATAACTTATTATTATTCAATATGGCGAAGATGTTAACAAACAAACAAATTCGTTCGGTTATAGTCTGACCATTTCAATAAAAAGATATTGAGAAGATGTCTTACTTTCCTATTTGATGGGTTCTCGGCGCGATAGTTCTTTGAGTTCCAGTTTGCATGACCTCTTGAGGCGACATCATTACGTAGAAACCACCTTTACAACAGAGATACAGACAAGCGTTGTCATTTAGTGACAAGACGAACGAGAGAAGAAATTACGAACAACGGCTTTTACGATTTGAAATAAGTTAGTGCTGTACAATTACCTGCCGCAGTCCCAACTGTAGTAATCGTCTGGGCTTCAGCCATGGTAATTGTACCAGTTAGTTGAGAAGGTGAAGAAGGCTGTTGGAGTGAAACGGGAATACTTCGAACAGCGTATGTGTTGTTGGAGTCCATCGGTTCACCCGTTCCTGCTTGAACGACATTCCCACCTCCTGTAGCATCAGCTTGAGAGTGAAAGTACGTAAATCGATTTGCATCTGTCGAGGCATCAGGATCGGAATGATGTGTAGGCGACGAGCCATTGCTGAAGGGACTTTGAATCACTGTCTGGGCATGGACTTGAGCTGGTTGAGTTACAAAGCTTGTAGGCGTCCCTGTGCCATCGACTCGTTCTCCTACCGCTTCGGCGGGCTGAACGTGAACAACACGAATCTGCTGGCCGCTTCCCTCAAAGCCTGCGCTCTGAACTTGTCCATTGTTATCAGGCCTATATTGGAATTGAATAGCATTTGGGTCAGCTACAAAGGGCGAATTGGTTTGCTGGCCGACTAGTCCATGTTCGTCGCCAACAGTCGACACAGTTACTGTCACAGTCTCTGGTTCTGGTGAGACTTGTGTTGGATCAGAACTCTTGGGCTCGTGTAAGGAAGATTTCTCTGAGTCTAACGAGCCATCGAGCATGTCCAGGGTCGGGGATGTAGATTGCGAAGCGCTGGTCATGGGGTCAAATAAACTGGTCATGTGAACAGCAGAGAAGAACGACGAAACTGACCACGAGGACAAGAACACATCACATGATAAGTACGTCATTCTTCCTCCACCCTGAGCCAGTCGTCCGTGGCAACCGTCAATCATATCACGACTTCAGCCACTCACACGTGATTGGACACGTGATAGCAGATGTTTTTCCATGTGACTGTTGTGACCTCTAATCAGGTGACACGTGATACTATTTTTCTGCTGTTCTCAAAATACAAAACATTGAATTGCTTGACGGCACGCGATCAATTCTTTTGTAAAAAATAAATTAAATTAAAAATAAAATTATAAGAACAATTAAATAAAACAATTATTTAAAAACAATTAAAAACATAAAATATCAAAATGAATATTTCAAAAATATGAAAAAAAAAATTTTTTTAATCATTTCAGCGGCTCATATGAAAAAAGGAGTGAAAATAAAGGAATTTAAATAAATGGGATTTCCATCTTTTTATGACTCCCTTCCCTTTCCCTTCCACTATTTTAATTTTTAAAACAGTCCTGATGCTTTTGAAATCCCTGACATATGATCTCCAAGTTATGCCAGTTTTTAACAGCACTGCATGGTCACTCATAATGTAAATACAGTGTTAAAAGAATGTAAACAAAATACCAGTTGATAATAGAATGACCACACACTAAATCAATGAAATCGTACWAAATTAAAATACCACAAATTTACACTACCAGTAAATCTGCAACTGAAGTGGAATATTCTTTGAATCACAAAAATTCTTTATGAACACCATGTTTACTAGACTGCACAAAATTTGTACAGAGGCTGGTTAAGTATGTTCATTGTCCAGCTTGTAAGAGCTACTATATTTGCAAACATTGATGAAAAGTTGCTCAAATTGCCAAGCAGTCCTTATCCTCCTTATAATTTCACATACCTCCAGGAAGTGAACAAGATCAAAATGTTTCTTGTTTTATAATGTTTTATTTAAACATAACATTATTATGTTAGATACATTATGGATGCAGGTGAAAATAGATTACAGACACAAAACAGACTTGTCTTGTATGTGTCTTGTATGTCAATATCTCTGTGAACTACCTCTTCCTATATCAGCCTTTGGTTRTCAAAATAAGAGCTACATATTTTAAATAGTTGTAATCTATTTAGTAACATTTACAGGGCCTGATGGGGTACTTGAACTACTAGCTGCAAGTGAGACTGGAGTGGATACTGCAGGACTAGTAGGGGTTGTTGGTAAGAGTCCAGTTGTTACAATCAAAAGAGGGGTACTTGTTGGGGTAGTGGGCGTGGTAGGTGTCAAGGAATTAGTTTTCAAAGTTAGTAAATTTGGTTTGAGAGCACTTATTCCTTGTCTGAGCTGAGCCACTTTTGTGCATAAGACACGACCAATGCTGCCATAATCTGCCTCAAACTTCTCTGGGATGTCAGGGGGGTGTCGCATACGTATCACCACACCAGGGCAGTGTTTCTGGTAGAAAACAAAATGAATATGACTTTAAAGTTTGTATTTCAACTAATCACTATTTTTAATAGATGAAATAACTKTACAAATTGTACTTACAAGTAAAAGATTTCTTAAGTTTTCTGCAGCATTTTTCTCCACCACGTCTGGTTCTTGTAAAGCTTTGTATATAAGTGTGCTTTCTGTTTTTAATCTTGGAATAACTAGTACTTTGATTACTTCTTGTCCTAGTTCAGCTAGTCCTGTTATTGCCCCATAATGTGTGGCTAAAGGAGCTTTATTTTGCTGTAGTGCCTGATMAAGAAAATCAAAAGGTTCTTATCTATCATTAAATATATTTTTAGAAAATACTATAAATAAAATCATAATGTCTACATATTTTAAAATTCAAAGAGGGAAAGGAAAAAAAAAGACATTTATGATTTCCGATCAATTTTATAATATCCTAAAAATCTTTTTTTTTACCTTGCAGTACGTTTTTGTTACTCTTGTTTGAACACTATTAGTAGTTGAATTAAATGTCCTGAAAAACACAATGTAAATATTATTGAAATCTTGGAATAAGTAAAATAATAAATTATTATAATTATGTACCAAAGAAATTGTCCATAT